ACACTTTATTATTTGTATATATTTCTGAGAATTGTAATTAATTTACACTATTTACATTGTTCAGACTTGTGCTCAACTTTATTGCCATGTTCACAATGTTTCTGCCATTGTACACTCTGGCCTTCTTCAAGTGATTGGAATTTCTAACTGAACCGTTTATTTCAACCACTGGGGGTAGATTATTCTAGTTCCATGTGCCATGAGTCTTCCTGATATTGCAACTTTAACTCAACTTTACAAGTTTTTGTTCACTTCTGCTGTAGCCAGGTATTGAACTCAACTCTTTGGGTCAAGTCATTGGATTGCTTCAACCAACACTTTTATCCACTGGGCCATGTGTTATTATTATTATTAATTATTGCATGTTACTAATAAAACTTTTTTATACTTCTAATATTTGTAATCATTTTTTTAGATGTTAAGATTGTGGTGATCAGTAAAGCATCCTCTCAAGAATGTTGTCACAATATGACAATTCTGGGGAAGGGAGTTGCCAGAGTGGGACTTATTTTTCACCAATGGAATTTAATTCAGTTTATGTGAACTGACAGGTCCTAGCTGTAAAAGTCTGAACTGGTGGAATGTAGTTTTCTCAAATATCTGCCATGAAAATAGATAGTCCTTGGGGATACATAGCCCAGTGGATAAAAGCATTGATTGAGTAACCTGAAAAGTAACTTGACCCAAAGAATTGTGAGTTCAGTACCTGGCCACAACAAAAGGAATAAAAACTTGGAGAGTGGAGTTGCTAAAGGGAATTAACTGATTTTGAGATATCCAAAAAATGCATGGTATGTAGAATTTGAACAATGTAGGGTTGGGTTCGAAATTCCAACGTATATCACCTGAAGAAGGTCAGAGCATGCAACAAAATGTCATGAATATGGCAATAAAGATAACAACAGTTTGAATGATGTAAATAGTGTAAATAGTTACAATACTTCATCTCAGAAAAAGAGAGATACAAAATTTTATGCTTCATTTGTTGCCACAGTGATGGCAAATAATTCAAATAACTGCAGTTAATTTTAATTTTTTAAAGTTTGGTAAATTCTTTCAATAATTGGATTTAAAACTTAGATATATTCTTCTGATGAGAATTACCACATTTACTCTTGGTCATTTTTGATCTTATCTGTCTCTTGTAAAGCTAGACCATTGAAGGAGGACTCATGTATTTACTGAAGTGATACAAGGAAGCAACCATTTTCCCAGCATCTTTAGCAATGGATAGTATATAAGAGTTTCACTTGAGATCTGGAATGAACATAGACATTCAAAGTAAGAATTCTTATTGAGAGTAGAACCATTCATCAGGACTGGAGAAAATTCAAGGCTTGATCAGTAATGATGAAAGATTATTAGTTTTGCCTTGGGGGGTTCTATCAAGCCAGTTCTATCCAGCCCCCCACCCCCCGTATAAGTACAGTTAGAGGAGAGATCGGCTTTTGGGCTCAGGTTATCTAGATTTTTGGAGGTGCACCCATAAACTGTGGTAGTGTCTGCATATATATTTACTAATGATCTGAGAAGTGCTTAAAAGTAAGGATTGGGTAGCTCAAACCTAGATATAGCAGCAATGCTCTATATTTGGTCTAATTTGACTTTTGTAAAGAGAGCACAGTAGGAGAATTCTGGTACTTTCTGGAACAGTAAAGGGTATCTACCATTTTGCCAGCATCTTTAGTGATGGATCATATATAAGAGTTTCACTAGAGGTCTAGAGTAAACTTGAGTCACAATAGACATTCAAAGTAGGAATTCTCATTGAGAGTACAACCATTCATCATGATTGGAGAAAATTGAGGCTTTGGTCAGTAATGATGAAAATTATTATTCGTCCCAATGTATGTGGCATGTCAGGTTTTGGATATGAAGGTCCGAACTCATGACACTATGGCATATAGCTTGCAAGAACATTTGCCATGGAAATAGCGATAGAGTAGCAAGAGGCTTGTGATGTTTCATCTGTAAGATAGGTTTGTAGAGTGGAAAATAACTCATCACCCACAAGGTTGTGAAAATGCTTCTGAACGCCATCAATACTGAAAAATGGGGACTGGAGAGTTATAGCCTGGATATGGCAGCACTATTCCATTATTGGTCTGGTATTGTTCTTGTAAATATCAAGCATGAAAGAAGTTGGCATTAGGTGAAGTAATTTTTGACATTGGCCCAAATAAGGAAACAAAATTCCACACTTCATTTGTTATTACAGTGAGGCCAAATAATTCAAATAACTACAGTTTATTTTAATTTTCTAGGTTTGGTAACTTCTTTCAATAATTAGTTTTAAAACTTGAAATATATTCTTCTGATAAGACAGAAAGATTATCAGAGTTATTCTTGGCCATTTTATTGATTTATCAGGAGACACAAAGAATTAGATTTAATTCAATTAACATCAAGAATTTCCTAAAGTAATATACTTTGAACATTAATGAAGCATTTGATGGTTTGTTTTTTTTTTGTTTTTTTACATAAATTAATAGATACTTACATATTTAGAATGCAAGATTTCACCCGCTTCTTTGAATCAAAGAACAGAAATTGGTACCATTCTGGAAATAAAAAGATTTAAATAAAGATAAATATAGGTATAAGCTAAGTAACTAACTTGGAATACAATTCCACTGAAAAAGAGAATCCATGATGAAATGAATATTTTTACACATATTTAAATATACAACAGGCCCCACCCTCAGTCATTCACTAGTTGGATACATCACCCCAGGTTGGGTTTCAATTCCAGCCTGCATCTATGCATATCTACGTAGGCAAAGACTGGAAAAGCCCATGGTGCATTCACAACAAAAAATGAATATAGTGAGAAATGAAAAAGGTAGGTCCTATTTCCATTATATTTAGTTATTTTATTCAGCGATTCACTTGCAAGGTCTGCGGGGGAGGGGTGATGGTAGGTGACACTTGGGACAACCTCTGCTACTTCTGACTATTGGATCAGCTCTTCCCCTAAGCCAGCAAGAACTCTCCTACCATCCCTCTGCCCATTTCTACATCACAACACACAGCTGTCAACTAGCTCACAGGTGACTTGAAATTACTCTAACAAACAGTCCAGGACCCCCTCCCATCCGATAACTTGTACTCTCCCCACTTGCAGCATTGGAACTACCATCAATTATGTATGTGTTCTAATGACAGCTGGATTCCATTTGGTTACACATGCACACAAAAACAAAAATCTAAATCTTTACTTGCAACCTCCATTTTTTCAATTTTAATCATATTGCAAAACTTAAGAAATAGTTGGGTTTGGATAAAAAGAAAGAATAATTTTCTATTTACCCTAAAGGGAATCTTTTAGCTTATTGTTGCTGTTATATCTGTAGCCTCTTAACCAGAGACAAAATTGCATGCATATTGCTACTCAATTGCTATTATGATAAATGTTCAGATGAGTTCTATCTTGTTGTCCAGACCTTTATAGCTAAGACACAACATGCTCCTAAATCACAGTCATTTCCTCTGTATTCCAATTGTAAGGAGGAAGTTCCACTCTGCTTCCCCCCACCCAAGAACTGTTACTTTGTAGAACAGACTCCCATGTGGATGCTTTCCTGACTACTGAACACTAATATTAACCCCTTTAAGTCAAAGGTCAATCATTAACTATCCTCCTTATCTTCATTTGTTACTACCTGTTCTTTCATTCATATCACATCTCATTCATAATCAGTTTAATAGTAACCTCCTTACTTTGAGTGGATGAACTTAAGTATTAAAACAAATATATTAAGTCTTGTTCTATTTTCAATATTTAGAATAAATTTCCAATATTGTCTTTTGGATTGGAAGTACCTAAATTGTTGGAATTTGCATTCAGTTAACAAGAAAACTGAAAATTGTAAATTAAATAATTAGATTCCATAATCTAGAACAGCAGTCAGCAACCCCCTGCCCCAGGCCACATCTGGTCCACAAAGGATTTTTGTCTGGCCCGCCAGCTTTATACCTGGACACTAATTATATAATTAATTTGTGGAGCAAGTTCTCAGAAAAAATATCATTTGGAGTTAATTGACTTACAATGCGACAAATTTTTTAAATCAAAATTTCATTCCCAATCCAGTGCTGACTCCAAGAAACTGGTTTTGTTATGTGAAATATAGAAAAACATTGAATAATGCAAACATAATATCATTATTTGTAAGGGAATAATTTTTTTTCGAAAATGAAATATACTAAAAGTCGTTTAAGAACAAGGTTGGGTGATGACCACCTGGATGATGTTTTGCTCCTGTCATCAACAAATATTTCACCTGATGTGGAGAAGTTATCGAACAATAAGCAGAAACAAATGTCTCATTAAATAATTTGCCATTTCTAACTATTTCGTTTGTAGTAAGGAATTTGCATTTTTTTTTTATTTTGTTAATTGTCATCCTGTAGTAAAATAAAGAACTTTGTTTAAATAATATAGCATTAACTTTGCTGATTTTTCTTTAAACTTCCAGACCAAGACAGCGTTCTGGACAAAGCAATCTGGGATCGAGACAATTTGTTATAATACATTTGATATCATGGCCCTCCCCCAAGATAAGGCATAGCTTTCTGGCCCGCTCTCTCCAAAAGGTTGCCGACCTCTGATCTAGAACATTTTTTTTAATAATATCTAGGTGGGTGATACCCAATCATCACTGTCCAGCCTTGACAGAGTTCAAAAGTGCTTACACAGCCTTGTGGGAGATGGATTATTTTCCATTCTTATCCCACAGATGGAACTTTGCTCACCTCATTACTATATCACTATAACAGATGCTTAAACAAGTCACATTCCTTAGTCACCACCACCTGGCCATTTTCCATTTGAGAAATACTACAAGATAGAAGCTTCCAATTTTCACCCATTCATTGCTTGTTTTATCCATATGTGTTATAGTTTTTCTGTGTGAGACAAATAATGATATATAAATATTTGTATATGATTTCTTATATGACAAATCTGTATATAAAAAAAACTTTGAGCACAATACATATTTAGCATTCATTTCTTTCAGCTATTCCAATCATTCTGATTTAGTATATCCTGGATGTACTAAGATCTATGATGAGAGTTGGGAGACTGTAAATAACCAAGATAGTCAGTCTCTCTTTTCAGCTATCCCATTAACTTGTTTATGTTCAACTTTCTAAGAAATGCTAACCTTATTTACATTTGGACTATTGCCCTCATTTTTTCACTAAACATTTTGATATTTTCTATAATGACAACCTGTGTTGACACAAGTTACATAAAAAAAAAAAAAAAAAAAAAAAATATATATATATATATATATATATATATATAATCCAGGCAAGTCCTATTAACAGAACATATCTGTTTGATTCTGGTATCTCTAATTTGTAATTTGCATGTTGGACTCTTCCATTTGCTAACAACCATGCATTCCATGTTCTTGCAATTGATATTTTGTCCTTTCTTCTTGCTTTTCATCACTACATTCTGTAGGAGTTCTTGTAGTTTCTCTTCTGTATTTGCTATCAACACTGTATCATCGATGTATCTTATGTTAAGATTGTGGTCGCCAATAATGAATGCTGGTAGGACCTGTAATTCTCTCAAAATCACCTCAATGTATAAGTTGAAGAAGTCTGGTGAGAAGACATCCTTGTCTTACACTCCTTTCTATTTTTGTATATCTACTGAATTCATTTTCTGTTTGTATGTCAGTGGTTTGCTGCCAATATAGGTTAAATAGAAAACTTTTGTTAGAAACAAAGAAAAGAGTACTGAACTGTTACATAATATCAGTCCTCCTATATCGCAGTGAATGCCGGACAATCTGCCCACAAATCAAGAGAAGACTTGAGGTAGCAGAAATGTGCTTCTACAGGAGGATGCTGAAGATACCATGAATTGAACATGAAGTTTTAGAGAAAATGGAAACAAAAAGGAAACATACTTAACATTAGAAAGATGTAAGCCTCATTAATGATATTGGCCTTAGTTTCATATTCTTATTCATTGACCTCAGGCACTCCCACTCCATATACTTATGTCAAAACAACAGAAGAAACATCTATGTGGCTTTTGTATTCTATGGTAAACATTTGTAGGTTTTACTGAAATGTCACAATGCAGCTGTCACAAATGGCAGTTCTTTACAAATTGATTGATAAAATGAAAAATATTTTGAAAAACTTTCTTTTCCCTCTTTGAATGTGTACAAATAAGACAAAAAATATTTTACAAAAACGTCAAACATTTTTTTTTACCCAATCTTTAAAGGCTGGTGAAAATCAAAATGACATACTACAAAAAAATTCTAAAAAAGAAATAAATACCTTCACAGCTGTCACTCCACCAATTACATAGACAAGAAAATAGGATGTATTTCATTGCAGACTAAAAACAACAACATTTTTTATAATAGTGTATTTGAACTGATTTTTTTTTTCATTATATGGTAAACAAGACCCATTTATTTAACATTTAGCATTTATTTTAACAGCAAAAAGATGCTTTCTCAACATTTATGGTAAATGCACCACTGTACATTTAGAATAACTAAATAAAATTGAAATATTGAATCAGAAAATATTTGTTTAAAAATCATAATCCATAATGTAAACTGTCCAACGCAGCAAAGATTTATTTAAAGATAGATAGATACAAGAAGCAGTGGAATAAATAAAAGCTGACCTATCTTGATAAATATATTTATCGTATATTATTTTACAAACAATTATATATTCACTTATCAGCAGGACTCTTTCAGACTGACATTTTCAAACCAAAAGTAAACTAACATAAGCATCATTTTTCATATTACCAGTCACACTTTTTGAAAAGCGAGAGAGTTACTTTTTTTTATACTACCAATAACTAGTAATCATTCAACCAACATTAGGCTCCATCTATTATCCTTACTTCTTGCTATGTGACCTCCCCACCTTCAATTTCATTTCTTATCTTGATCCGTTCTCTCATCCACGTTTACTGCTTTCAACCTTAGAGTTATTAAAATGACTCTTTCCATTGACTTTTCAAAGTTTGCTTTTAACCGATTATGTTCATTTCCATATTTCAAATCTGTATGTCACAGTAGGCATTATATATTGATTAAACAATTGACATTTGAAGCATATGGCTTAACTTCATTGCTCCCCCAAAACAAGAATTTATATGGTGATGGAATAATAGGATAGTTTTACATTAATGTAAAATGTTATATATATATATATATATATATATATATATATATATATAATCATTTAATAAAGCCAATAAGACATAAGAGGTTACTGAGTGTGAAAAAATGTGAGAGAAAGAAAAGCACTACTAAGAGAACAATAAAAGAACATGGATGAATAGATTCTCACAAACAAGAATTGTGAGAGGAGAAACTATTAGCATAGAACTTATGATTATATTAGCTAATTCAATTGTAAAAATATGAGACATATCCAATCTAGTACTTCACTGAAATTTGTAAAGGTACCAAAGGTGTGTGTGTGTGTGTGTGTGTGTGTGTGTCTAAAAATTTTAGAGTATATATGTAACAATATGAATATAGACAAAAGGAAAACTTAATCT